TACTAACCCTTAAGCTTCCTTCGTGACTTTTCCAATCTTTGACAACAACCTCCATTCTCCTAAGGTGGGCAGTCTTCTATCATTATTGGTTAATATTGCCTGTTATTGTAACTCAGATGTGTGGTATCATTGTGTACACTATTGCATCAGGCTTATTTGTTTCAATATGTGTTAGATTTATTCATAGTGCTATGTGTACCAGTAGTTCACTTATTATGTTGCTACATAGTATTCCACTGCATGAAAATATTATAATTTATTTATCCATTCTTTTGACAGGCATTTTATTATTTTTTATTTATGTCTAGCAGTTTTTTAGTTTACCATTTTGTATTTTTTACTCTGGGTATTGCAATATGCATTCTTAACTCACTTTTGTCTGTCTTAAATTAGTCCTTTACCACATCACAGGCAATGTAAGAATCCTGAAACAGTTTCACTTCATTTACCCCTATCCTGTGCTTTTGGCTAGTTTTGTGTAATACTCTACTTTTATGTGTGTGTCATAGATGTCAAAAGATATTACTGTAGTTTCCTTAAATTTTCTTTTCAGTTTTCTTTGTTTCTTTCTGCAGTTTTATGCTTCCGTTTTCCTTCAGGTTGAAGAACTATTATAATATTTCTTCTAGTCTGTGTGTGCTACCAGTTTTTTAAACCTTTATTTGGAAAATATATTTATTTTAGAAGATTATTTTCTGGTGGCTTTTTATAGTTCTTTAAAATGTCATTCCATTTTGATTTTATTTGTGAATTGCATGTTTAGATTTTTTGCTCAGTATATTCTGACTTTCATAGTTTTTATCGAAATGTTTGCTGTTAGTTTTGCTATCAAGATGCCCTACCCCCCCCATTTTCTCATTAAGTTATAGAATTTCTTCCTATGCCAGGGATAAATGGGATAATTTCTTTTTACATTAGGGATTTCTTTCTGTGCTACAGATAGGAGTTCTTTGTCGTATATATGTGTTCTGAATATCTTCTCCCACTCCGTATGTTGCATTTTTATTCTGTTTCTGTCTTTTGATAAAGATGGTTTCTTAATTTTAACATAGTATGGTTAATATAATTTGTGTCCTCTTTAAGAAATCTTTGTCTACCCTGAGGTCATGAAGAAAAGTTTCCTATGGTGTTTCCTGAAATTTTTATTGCTTTACTTTTCAAAGTTAGATTTATACATTGTCTAAAATGGATTTCTCCTTGCACTTAAGATAGCCATACTCATAATTAAACTAACATCACTTATTGAAATGGTTGTTCTTCTTTCAGCTTTGTCATGATCAAATGGCCATATAAGTGTGTATCTGTTTTGGGGCTCTTTCTTTCCTTTTTTTTTTTTGTTTGGTGGCTGGTCAGTATGGGGATCTGAACCCTTAAACTTGGTGTTATCAGCACTGTGTTCTAACCAGGTGAACTAACGGGCAAGCCACCTGCTTTGGGGCTCTTTCTTCTGCTGTGTTGATACATTTGAAAATCCTTCTGCCTGTATCACACTATCTTAATCGTGGTATGTTGATAATACAGCACCGTGTTCTAACCAGGTGAACTAACGGGCAAGCCACCTGCTTTGGGGCTCTTTCTTCTGCTGTGTTGATACATTTGAAAATCCTTCTGCCTGTATCACACTATCTTAATCGTGGTATGTTGATAATAATACCAGATATGATAATATTTCTTCTGGCTTTGCTTTTCTTCATAATTGCCTTGTCTTTCCTTAGCCCTTTGCATTTCCATGTATTTTAGAATTAGCTTCTCCACCAAAGCATCTGCTAGGATTTTGTTTGAGATTGCTATAAATCTATAGGATATACTGGGGAGAACTGATATTTTTATAATATTGAGCCTCACCATCTGGGAATCTGTTATATTGTTCCACTTTTTGGGTCTTCTTTAGTTTTCTCCGTTATATTACCTAATCTCTTTGTAGAGATTTTCGTATTTTTAATGCTATTGTTAATTGTACCTTTCAAAAAAATTAATGTTCTGATTCTGTTAGTAGAAATAATGAGAAATACTAAGATTTGTTATATTGGACTTGTAGCTAGTTTCTAAAACATACATTTGGATTTTCTGTGTACCTTATTGTTTTATCTTATTATTCTAAGAACTTTAGAAAAATGTTAATAAAATTGGAGAAAGCAGGCATCCTTATCTTGATCTTATTTTTTAATTCGAACACTTTCCACGTTTCACCACCAAATGTGGTGTTTGCTGTAGGTATTTGTGGATATCATTTATCACTTTGAGGAAATTCTTTTCTTTTTCTTTTTTTTGACTGGTAAGGGGATTGCAACCCTAGGCATGGTGGTGTCCACACCACGCTTAGCCAGTGAGCACACCGGCCATCCCTATACAGGATCCAAACCTGGGGCCTCGTTGCTACCAGTGTCACATTCTCCCGAGTGACCCACGGGGCTGGCCCAAGGAAATTCTTTTCTATTCTTAGTTTGCCAAGTGTTTTTTTTATCATGCTTTTCTGCATTTACTGATACGATCTTATGATCAAATCTTAGTTTTAAAGCTAGTCATTATTTTTATTCCAGTCTTTCAGAAAATTTTTTCATGGTCTTCATGACCTATTCTTTCTCCGTAAGCCAATTAAAAGTGATTTTCCCATGAGGAGAAAGGGGGACTCTCACAGACTGTTGGCGGGAATGTAAATTAGTACAGCCATTATGGAAAATAGTATGGAGATTTCTCAAAAAAATTGAAAATAAAACTACCTTATGATCTAGCAAACCCACTACTAGGTATATATCCAAAAGAAATGAAATCATTTTGTTGAAGAGGTATCTGCACTCCCATGTTGATGGCTGCACTATTCACAATAGCCAAGAGATGGAATCATCCTAAGTGTCCATCAGTGGATGAATGGATAAAGAAAATGTGGTATATGTACACAATGGAATACTATTTAGCTATAAAAAAAGAATGAAATCTTGTCATAATTAGCAGCATGGATGGACCTGGATGACATTATGTTAAGTGAGATAAGCTAGGCATGGAAAGAGAAATACCTCATATTCTCACTCGTGTATGGAATCTAAAAGTGTTGTTCTCATAGGAGTAGAGAGTAGAATAGTGGTTACCAGAGGCTGGGGAGGGGAGAGTGGAGGGGGGAATGGGGAGAGGTTGGTCAGTGGTATATAGTTACAGCTATATATTCTCCTGTTCTATCTAGGGTGACTATAGGTAATAAAATTGTGTTGTACATTTCAGGATAGCTTCAGAAGAGGATCTTGAATGTTATCACCACAAGGAAGTGATTAATGTTTAGGAATGAATATGCTAACTACTCTGATTTGGTCATTACTCAGTGTATGCACATTTTTTTTTTCTTTTTGTCCTTTTTGAGACCGGCTGCACTGTGCTCAGCCAGTGAGCGCTGTGAGCGCACCAGTCATCCCTATATAGGATCTGAACCCGTAGCGGGAGTGCTGCTGCGCTCCTAGTGCCGCACTCTCCCAAGTGCGCCACGGGCTCGGCCCATATGCACATATTTAAACAACACACTATACCGCATAATTGTACAATTTTTTAAAAAGTGATTTTCCCTTAGATTCCATTCTTGATTATTTTCTTCTCAATTCTTTGAGAGACTTGTGATTCACTCTTGATGGCTTTGAACATTACCAGACTACTTATGTCTCTTAAATCCTTATTTTCATTCTAGATCTCTTATGCTTCAAATTTAGTATATTTAAACCTATCTTGCTAAAATACTATGCCCAATCTGTTTTGCCCTAATTTCTCTGGCTGGCTTTGTGACTCTAGTATATGTGTGGCCATTCTTGTGGATAGCTTGAGGAAACGTTTCACTTCTGCTCAATGAATTGGTGACCATATTGTGTTGCTATCTGTCTTCTATTATCAGTACCCTATTTGCATCTGAGTTTTCTACTTCAGTAGTTTATGTAAGCAGTGTTGTGTCCTTTATCTTTCCCCTCCTTTTCTCAAGAAAATTTGTTCTGTAGATAAAACCTGGTCACATAATTTCAGTATATCCTCATTTTTCTTCTTTAGCTCTCCTTTTTCCACAGCAATGATCCTTAAAATAGAGGCATACACCCTAGAGGATGTCCAGAACAATTCAATTGGATATCTTCTCCTATATAGTCTACAGATGTTTCAAGTACAGTAGTTCCAAAGTCTTTCCATTTTCTACACATCCTTATTGTCTCTGAATTGAATCTGAATTCTAGGTTAGAACCTAGAATATGTATTGCAGTGAAATAAAATATTAGGTTGTCTTCCTACATATTAAAATCTAAGTGAGAATTTAATTAAAATTTGTAATAAATGTATTGACAATTTATTTCCATGATTTATAAATATAAATCTTGTAGTGCTCAAAAGTATTCTTGAAGATGGTAATAAATCCTTTGGAGATTTTGGTCTAAAATTACTCCATAACCCATTCCCTGAATACTTCCATGGCTGTTTTTCTTGTTGACAGCACCAGGCCATATTCTCATCTGTGCTGTTTGCCCTTTTGCTGATTTCTTGAGTGTGTTAGAGTCCTCCTTTGCTTGTGCAATGGCCTTGTGTTTATGAAGAACCCGGTATTACACTTCAGCTAACAGCTGTATTTCCTCAGTGAAGCCCAAAATAGAACTAATTTATGTTCCTTACTTATAATGTTGTTTTCTGATGTGTACTTTGACCTTAGCACTTGCAACATATTACTGCATATGTTATATTCTTTTACCAGATTATATGCTGTTTGAATACACAAGAGTTTTTGGTAATCTTAGTATTTCCAACAACTGTAATAGTTCCAGGTACATCATACGGACTTGATTATTTTTTTTGCATGAATTAATGCCTTAATGCAATGGCAGAGTATTTCTGTTGTGATTTCTCTTTTCCCCCAAAGTATAAAGCAAACAAAATGGTTTCTGTAAGCCATTTTGGTAATCCGTTAAATAATAGCTAAATAATAGCTATGGTAAGGATTAGCGCCCTATGTCTTTTTCCACGTCATCTAATTCTGAACATTTCAGATTGAACAGAAATTCCATGGATCAGTATCATTTAAGGATGTGACTGTGGGATTCACGCAGGAGGAGTGGCAGCACCTGGACACTAGCCAGAGGTCCCTATATAGAGATGTGATGCTGGAGAACTATAGCCACCTTGTCTCAGTGGGTAAGGCCTGTTTACTATGTAACTCTAGATAGCATTTGTTTATTCTTTTAATTTTGAAGCATATAAGCACTCTGTACAGTTTAATGATATTTAAGGTTGAGATTCAGAAATCAGTATCAATTGATCATTTTGGGGCACTAGAAGATATTTGTATTCACCTCTCCAGTGAAATGTTCCAGGGTATCTTCATCAAGCAGCTCCAGAAGCTTCTACCTCCTTCAGGGGCCATGAAGTTGAAGCTGCTTGGTACAAGTCCTAAATTATTTCCTGTTAACAGGGTATTGTGTTACCAAACCAGACGTGATCTTCAGGCTGGAGCAAGGAGAAGAGCCATGGATACTGGAGGATGAATTCCCAAACCAGAGTTTCTCAGGTGAGTTAATGTATACTGCACAGATAGATGAACATCAGGGGATTTTTTTTTTTCCTGTAGTTAATTTAGGGGTTAGCAACTTTAAAATGTTTTTCAAGAATATCTCTTCAAAACTCCTGACCCTTGAAAGTGACTGAGAGTACTGATTCCTAAATCAAACCAGCAGATACCACTTTCATAGAGTATGTTCTCTTTTTTTTTTTTCCTGTAGTTAATTTAGGGGTTAGCAACTTTAAAATGTTTTTCAAGAATATCTCTTCAAAACTCCTGACCCTTGAAAGTGATTGAGAGTACTGATTCCTAAATCAAACCAGCAGATACCACTTTCATAGAGTATGTTCTCTTTTTTTATTCCATTTTTGAATGTTTACCATTTTTTTTTACCTGACAACAGTCCAATCTTTGCCTTATCTTTTTTTGTTTTGTTTTCTTTTGGTGGCTGTCCAGTACAGGGATTGAAAACTGGAAGCCCACCTCATCTTTACTATTGTTTTTCTTGGTTACTCTATGTTTCTCAAAGCACTTTCATTGTCCATTGTTCTGTATTCCTTCAGTAGTCAGACTTCTTTCATACACTCATTTTTTGACTAAACACATAATTTTTGAGTACTTGCTATGTGCCAATCATTTTCTAAGAGCTGAGGATATAGTAGTGAAAAAAAAAATAACATCTCTAAATGAGCTTATACAAGTAGCTCTAAGCACATAAACAGATATTTATGTATATTAAATGCTCTGTGGTAGTAATGACTGTCAAAGAAATTAAAGCAACATTAGATTGATTGAATGTGCTTTTTAAAGTATAGTCAGGATAAACTTTAATGAGATCAGTGTTAGAGCAGAAATTTGAATGAAATGATTGTGTGAGCCATGAAGATTCTGCCTCTTTTCAGGAGGGTAACAGCAGTTGCTGAGCCCCTGGGCGTGAATGTGGTTGGTGCTTTTGAAAAACAAAAAAGTGACAATGGCTGAAGGGAATGGTTGATGGTAGGAGGGGTAGAAAATGACATCAGAGACACAGGTATAGTCCAAAAGATCAGAGTATCATGAGCTTCATTAAATAATTTAATTTTTATTCTTAATTTACTGGTGGATTTTCAGCAAATGAGCAGCGTCTGATTTACATTTGTGTAAGATCTTTCTCACCTTTGTATAAAAAATATTGGGAAGGACACAGGGACTGTTATTGTTTTTCTTATGAGTGATTATGATGGCTTTGACAAAATTGGGAAGGCATGGAGGTAATGAGAAGAGATTTAATTTTCTCAGTATTTAGAAAGTGGGGCAATAACCAAAGAACTAAAATTTGTGTCATCAGAGTACCAGAGGAGAGGAGAGAGGTATTTAAAGTACTTGAAGAAATAATGGCTGAAAACCCCCAAATTTAGCAAAAGACGTGAAAGTACCCATTCAAGAATCTGAGCTAATCTCAGATAAGCTAAATCCAAAGAAATCCATGCTAAAGGCACATCATTATTAAATTTCTCAAAACTAAAACAAAAAAATCTTGAAAGTATCCAGAGAGAAACAATGCATTTCATACAGAGAACGACAGTGGATTTCTTATCTGAAGTGTCCAGAATGAAGTAGTACATTTTTTCAAGCAGTGAAAAAAAAAAAAGAATAATCAAATAAAAATTCTTTATCTTGTGAAAATATATTTATGAAAGAGGAAGGCATTATTAGAGAAAGGAAAACGAAAAGAAAATGTTGCTAGCAAACCTACCTTTAAAAAATAGCTAGAGGAAGTTCTCTAAATAGGAAGGAAATAACACAAGAAGGCTTGGAACTTCAGAAAAGGAAGAACATTACAAGTTGGCAAAATAGTGATATATGAGTATCCTCATGAATTTCTGAAGTCATATTTCATGGTTGGAGCAAAATTTATAGTATATTATTTGATATTGTGTATGTAGAGGAAATAAGATAGTTATTTCAAAAGGGAGGATAGGGGGATCTAAATGGAATTAAGCTTTCTACCTTTCCTTTGAAGTAGTGAAATATTGCTGTTAATAGACTGATAAGTTACATACATACATTTTAATATTTAGAACAACTACTAAGAAAACTATAAAAAGTAGTATACTTAAATACTATAAATAAATCAAGATGGAACCTAAAAATTCAAGAAACCATGGGAAAATAAGAAAAGAGGAACAGATGAGCAAGGAACTGAGAAAAGAAACAGAAAACAAAGTAGCAGCATAACAGAGCAATATTTACCTTAAATTTAAGTGATCAAAATACCAATTAAAACAGAAATTTGCAGAGTGGATAAAACAAAAAACATGACTTTAAAATATGTTAGCTTGGCCGGCCCGGTGGCGCACTGCTACAGTGCGCCGCTTGGGAGCGC